ATCTCGGAAACAAAACCTCATTCCCATCGCCATTTAATACATACGATAGACCTGAGTCCCTATCAAACCACCATAAATTAATTTGCACTAAATTAGTGCAAAGTTTCATATTATTAATGACATAATTAAGTTTATGAACATACAAATTAAACTAGCATTCCCAACTTTCCGTATCGAGAAATTCCTTCTAAGTGCAAATTCAAAGCATTAATTACTGCCAAAAGATTTGACATAATTGTGAGAAAGTGTGCAAACATTACACGAATTAGTTACACGCTAACTCCACACTACATCACATCACTAGGGGGTCAGGGATTTAATGTCTCAAAGTTGGCGTCAATTACGAAACATTGCAATCATTTGACTGATATTTACGTAAAAAATGACTGCAATTTACGGGCAAAACGTATGAATGATTTCTTCGCAAAGTTTGCCAAACAATTGAAATCATTGGACATTGAACGCTATTATCGGTTAAGTAATGACAGCAAAGCGTCCGTCACTAATAATATGAAACTTTGCACTAATTTAGTGCAAATTAATTTATGGTGGTTTGATAGGGACTCAGGTCTATCGTATGTATTAAATGGCGATGGGAATGAGGTTTTGTTTCCGAGATTACAATCTCTTAGCTTTAATTACACGTATGAAGACATGAATTGTATTAAAGTATTTGCGGAAAACTATGCAAAAAGTTTGAAATCAATTTCAGTGACAATCGATTGGAGTTGCGACGAGGAGTCCGTCGATACACTGATGACTAGTTTGCCGCAAATGCGGGCATTAATTGATTTGAGTATTTATTGCACTGATTATAGATTAACTGCTCTAATGGTGAAGCGATTGAAACAAATCGGATATAAAGATCAGAAATTGAAGAGACTGTCCGTGAGTTTAGCCATGGATTCAAACGAAATATTCACACAATTATTGCAAACAATTAACGCAAACTATCAACAAATTAGACGTTTGAAAATACATATAACTTTTGTCCTCACTTACGATGTATTGTGCGAATCGCTGAATGCATTGAAACGATTGACACATTTAACAATAATTTTTTCATTTGGTCAAAATCGTATCGACAAGTTTGTGACGGATATTGACAAACATTTGCCGCGACTTCAATACATAAGTCTCAACGGTTTGGTGATAACGGATAGTGTATTGCATTCGTTGGCAAAACTCCTGAAAATACAATACATTTATCTCAATGGCCGTAAAGTCTACTCACCAGCAAGTGTTGAAACACTGAAAAATTTGAATATGGCTGTAATACGGGAAAAGTTCATTGGAAAAATCAAATTCAGTGACATTAAATGGAAAGTGTAATGAGAAATGTATTGAAGTACTAATGACTGGTTTGTCACGAATGCCGGCATTAATTGATCTGAAGATTCAATGCTATAACCAGTCATTGAGTGCTGTAATAGTGAATCAATTGACACAAATCGGTACTAAACTTAAAAGACTTTCATTGCATTTAGACTTGAATTCAAATGAATTATTCACACAGTTATTGAACACAATTAATATGAATTTTAAACGAGTCAGGGTCAATGTTAGTCTGTCCAATTGAGGCTAAGCCATACTCCCGTCCCTCCCGACAAATTTTTATGACTCCCGATCCCTCCCGACTCCCGACTACTCTCGAAGCGTAACAAAATGTTAAAAATTAAAAATCTATTTTTTATGCTTTTTAAACTCATTTTCAATACTTTGATTTGAAAGCATGGCTTAACCTAATATTTAAATGATACTGTTGGCTTAAAATTAATTGATTGAATGTATTTTAAAATTTAGATTTCATTGTTTAATTTGTAATTAGATTTTCACTAACTAGTCAATGAATCTACATTTAAAGTGTATTATAGTACTAAATTTAATTTAAAACACGATAGATCTTTACGGTATAACTATCAATGTGAGCACTAATCGTATAAATTAATTTGATACATGCGCACTAAATATTACGTAAATATTTCAATTAAATAAAATAAAAAAGATTTCGATTGTACTGGTTGATTTATTTGGAGTTTGTCAAATTCATAAATATACACAGTATTAACATTAGTCTAAATTCAGTAATAGTAGTTTAGCCGAAGTAAATTCAAGTGTGGACAGCCTACTTTATACAATAAACAAAATGGTTGAGCGCATGTATGCGGTCTAACCATCGGGGGGTCTTTGGCGGCCCGCTTAGGGTCACACGTGAAGCCCATGACCACAGAATATCGGGTCCCAGAGGTGACCCTTTCGACGAAGTGCTTGTTCTCTGAGCCGGACGTGAACGCCGCCACTCTTCCTAACTTGGGCTCAATTGTTTGGTTCGACATCTGGTCCGTGAATATAAAGCGTCCGCCGGAGAAGTCCTTCTCATATGTCGACAGATATAACAAAGTAGTGAATTCATACGACTTTACATAATATTTGTCGATATGTCGTTTACAATACACGTCGGTTCCTGTTTGTGGCCTCTTTGGGGTCATTCTCCAGAAGAACGTCGGATCAGTTAAGTACAGCTGAGCCGAAGGGACGCCAAAGTGGTTTGCAATCGATTTGCGGATTTTGTTTCTCACAGTTCTGTAGACTTTAAAGTCTTTCGGTGAACAGCTCTTTGATGTCCTCTTGCTTTTGCTGCTGAAGTTCAATGAGTTTATAGATATTCACGAAATTCGTGGCCATCGATAGGACGCCCGTATGGAGGCTGAAGAGCCGCCCATTGATAGGCCTCTCTTCGCCACTGACAACAAGTGTTTGGCTTCCGATTCAGTGATCACCGAATCGGACACAAGACGTCCGCATCTTTGAGGGACACAAGAGGGGAACCGAACTCTGTCTTCGTTATAGTCTTGAGAACACATCGCTTGTCGTGCGATCGGCGGACCGGTTATGGATTGAGTGACGGAAGCCATCACTAGTTCTTTGGTATCATTGGATTGAGTCGTGTAGTAGTAAACCATCGCAAGAATAGCCATCGAGAGTGTCATTCCGCTCATCACTCTCTTCATAATACTCTGGTTTTGTGGTCTTTCGGGCGACACTTCTTGAGACACCACTCGTGACGACACGTTCTCCTCGTTTGTGTCGCCATTCCTATTGACAACTCTTTTACGTCGATTGAGTCCATCCGAAGACCTTGCGTGACCTATGCCTATGAATTGATAATCCAATCACTGGAAGTACAGAAACACAGATCACCCCTGAGTCCAGATGTGTCCGATGTACCTTTCACAAATATTGTCACATATTTTGGTCATTTATCGGTTAAAAAGTGTATGTAATTAAAAATATGGTCTACTACCGGCTAAATGGCAACAGTTTAACCCATAAACGGCCACAAAAAAAATGTAACAATATTTGCGAAATGTAAATCGGAAACACCTGGACTCGGGATTGAAACATATACGACTGTTTTGAATTGAAAAACAAACATATGAATTTAATTTACTCCAGTACATAGTTTCACTTTTGTTGGGTAAAAAATATAGACCATGATAACTTCAAATGCTTTTGTATTGGCTTATAATATGAAGCCAGTGATGAGTCTAAAGGCACTCTCAATGGCTATTCTCGCGATGGTTTACTACACGACTCAATCCAATGCCACCGAAGAACTAGTGATGGCTTCCGTCACTCAATCCATAACCGGTCGGCCGATCGCACGACAAGTGATGTGTTCTCAAGATTATAACGAAGACAGAGTTCGGTTCCCCTCTTGTGCTCCTCAAAGATGCGGACGTCTTGTGTCCGATTCGGTGATCACTGAATCGGAAGCCAAACACTTATTGTCAGTGGCGAAGAGAGGCCTATCATTGGGCGGCTCTTCCGGCTGCGGCTCTATCCTCAGCCTCCATACGGGCGTCCTATCGATGGCCACGAATTTCGTGAATATCTATAAACTCGTTGAACGTCAACAACAAAAGGAAGAGCTGTTCACCGAAAAAGACTTTAAAGTCTACAGAACTGTGACGAACAGAATCCGCAAAACAATTGCAAACCATTTTGGCGTCCCTTCGGCTCAGCTGTACTTAACTGATCCGACGTTCTTCTGGAGACAGACCCCAAAGAGGGCCCAAACCCAATACGACAGGTATTACGTCCGACACGTCGATAAACAGCAGTCTAAGTGCTATTCCTTCACTTCATTGCTGTATTTGTCGACATATGGTCAGGACTTCTCGGGCGGACGCGTTATATTCACGGACCAGATGTCGAACCAAACACTTGAGCCGAAGTTGGGAAGAGTGGCGGCGTTTACGTCCGGCTCAGAGAACAAGCACTTCGTCGAAAGGGTCACCTCTGGGACCCGGTATTCAGCGGTCATGGGCTTCACGTGTGACCGGGAGTGCGCCGTCAAAGACCCAGAGAGTGTCAGACCGCAGACATGCGCTCAACCATTATGTTGGTTGTATAAAGTAGGCTGTCCACACTTGTATTTACTTACTCCCCAACAAATATTACCGAATTATGACTAAATTTAATATACTTTATACGGAATTTATGAAGTGGATATCTAAATAAATCAACCAGTACAATTGCAATTTTATTTTATTTTATTTTATTTAAATCCCCAATGCTAATCCTATGGGACATGGTTCAAATGGCCCCAAAATCTCACGATAAATCTATGGGTAAATTGCTTAACATATGCTTAAACCCCATGTTAAGTCTATGGGGAAATTAATTAAAATTAGCTTAAAACCCCATGCTAATCCTATGGGACATTGGTTCAAATGACCCCAATATCTCATTCTAATACAATGGGAAAATTGACTACAATGGGCTCAAAATCCCATGCTTATCCTATAGGGAAATTTAATCAAATGGCCCCAAAATCCAATGCTAAACCTATGGGACATTTGGCTCAAATGTCCCAAATATCCCATGTTAATCCAATGGGAATTTTGTTTAAGCTAGGATAGGTTGTTACGTTAGGTAGAATTTGATTGGTTTAGATCAGGGAGATAAATTTTAATTTATCTTCCTGTGCATAGTAGGTCGTTCAATAGCATACCTCTAACAATTCCTATGGTAACATAGGTATTGTTAAGAGGTAATACACACCATTGTCTATTTATCTACTTGCGCCACAATCCAATCCACTAACAATAATATGAATAATAATATTAAACCCAATTATTAAACTTATAGACAACAATGGGTTGACAATTTCAAATATTTTTTAAAATCTCTACAATATTAAATTTTTTAACAATCCTTATAGAAAGATTATAATTTTAGTCAACAATGGCCTAAAATTTTAAAATATATTCTAAAACTTTAAGAAAGTTAGCAAAATGGAAGAGAAATGTATTAAGAAATCAAATGAACTTTTAACTCATCCATTAAAGAAATGTTAATTTATTTATTAAATTTATTTAATAAATTAATTAATATTGAGAAATTTAATCCAAATATATTGAACAATAAAATTAACTTTTTATTATATTAATTGACATTAACTAGAAAGCGTATGTCTCGATTAACTTCAGTTATCCGCCTTGTTTATAAACTATTCTGCATCCATTAATAAAACTTTTAAAAATAAAATTATAGAATACATGTATTATATTATGTTTAAATTCTTTGTGTACAGCAACTTCATTCAAATTCTGTGTTCATAATGATTTGCTTGATAAGCGCATGGCTATTGTCTATGTTATAAGTTATATAATTATTATGTGGTTTTCTACACAGAATCCAACATTCAATGCATACTAGGAGTGAAATAAAGGTTTCATTTATATTTATTAAGGATTAACACAAACGTCTAATTTTTTATTGCTATTTAATATTTTTAAAACACATTTTCGTATTTGATAAAAGTTTTTAATATTAGTTTTAAAAATGTGTGAAAAGTATAGTAAAGATAGTTTTGACAGATTTGGTGACGATTTATGTGAAGTCCTGTTGAGTTACCTATCATTTGAGAACCGATTCCGATGCGAATGTCTGTCCAAACAGTGGCAGCGATTGGTGTTCACGACGTTAACGACTATTAAATTTGACACAAAAATCAATTATAAAAAGTTTGATAAATCATTTGATCTAATCGT